CACTACAAAGTTTACTTCCTCTGTACGAAACTACTGTCAAATGCCCAGTCAGCCTCCTCGCCGCTCCTCAGACACAGCACTTCCCACAGCTGTGGCTGCTCTTCAGCAGGCCTTTCTGTCTCTGGTTTGGAGTTCAGATGCTTCCATACAAATGGAAATATATGCATATGTACATATATGAGTAGATATTTTATAATGCTGGCTAATGAACTTTATCTCATTTTTAGATGTCTTCCCGTAAGTTTATTGCAATTTATCGCTACTGTAAGGAGAAAAGACTCACAAGGAAATCTACAATCTATGTCTGCACCTTACACTGAAATGCACCCAAACGTGGGAAGGTAGATGTTTGCTATTTACCACCATGCCAGGACACACATTGAGTAAGAATATTTATCCAGCTGAAAGTGCAAAGCAAAATTAGGCAGGTAGAGCGCAGTTATGCTAACTGAAATCTAGCCTATGCACTGAGGCTAATACCAAACCTGGGACATGCAGCCGTGGCTCCTTCGCAATCACAAGTACTAATTTGTTTTGCATCTCATCCTAAGGACAACCTTTTTCTCAGGTTAGGCTGGAGAAAGCGTACAACGCTCTCCAGAAACTCACAGAAGCAACACATTGTACAAAAGCCTGGCATAAAAAGACACTTGCCACGCTCTTCACAACCAGGATCTTCACTGGCTATTTCTCCCCAGGGTGGTTACCAAGTCTGACCAAGGTGAAAGCATGTCTGCCTGCAGAGATGCTCCTGTGACCAAGGACAAGACAGTAAAAGACAGTTTATCTTTTTTTCACAAATGTTTTCTAGTCATCTTTTCTCCACTATGTAGCCTAGTGAAAATGCAGCTATTGTGGTTTCCTACTACAGTCAAAGCATAATTAACTACAACTACCTACAAATAAAGGTCCACATATTTTTCTGCCTGAAACTCAGTGGACACTTGTAACGTTTAATTTGTATGCACACTTCTGATCTGCCATGGACACCAGCCAGTCTCCGGCAACTTAAGTAAAGATCAATTAGTTTCCTAATTAGAGATGTGAATTAATGGAAACTGAAATGACCGTTTAAAATACGGCAAGCCCTAAATAATGACTTCCTGAGATGCTGCATACCCTAGAGCATTTCCTTTGTAATATTTTCAAACTATCTGCTCTCATCAATGATTTATGGCGTCTAGGTGCTACTTGGCAGTACTTTCCATGTCTGTGCTGAAAAAGAAGAAAACCTTTACTGTATCTGGAACTGTCAACAAGTGCTTTGAAATTTCATAAGAGTTCTTGCATTTGTCCTTCATATTTCCAGAGTTTAAAAAAAACAACCTCAAACCACCTGTCTTTCCATATAGAATAGCGCTTAGGAGCATCTTATTGATGAGTCACATTAACTTTCTCCCTGGTGTGGTTTAACCCCGGCTGCCAACTAAGCACTACACAGCCACTTGCTCACATCCCCCACTCAGTGGGATGGGGGAATCATAAACAAAAAAATAAAACTTGTGGGTTGAGATAAAGACTGTTTGATAGGACAGAAAATGAAGAAAACAATACTAATGATGATAATAATATTACAAGAATTAGAATACAGAAAACAAGTGATGCACAATTCAATTGCTCACCATGTGCTGACTGATGCCCTGCCAGTTCCCAAGCAGTGGTCCTGGCCAGCTTTCCCCCAGTTTATATACTGGGCATGACATTATATGGAATGGGATATCCCTTTGGCCAGTTGGGGTCAGCCATCCTGGCTGTCTCCTCTCCCAACGTCTTGTGCCCGCAGCCTTCCTGCTGGCAGGGCATGAGAAGCTGAAAAGTCCTTGACTAAGTATGAACGCTACGTAGCAACAACTAAAAATGTCAGTGTGTTATTAACGTTACTCTCACACTAAATCCAAACCACAACACTATACCAGCTAGTAGGAAAAAAATGAACCCTATCTCAGCTGAAACCAGGATACTCTACCATCAAAATATGCTTAATTCCCTTGGCCTCACACCATAATTCTCCAACTGGGTACTGAACCTTGTTGTGACAGCCCAATTAGTTTTGCTAGTAAGATTAATGAGATTATGATTATTTGAGAAACATACCTAGCAAGGATGAATTTTTATGCAGCCCTCTGGTTAAAAGGGCTATTACAACTTTAATAGAAGGAGACAACAAAAAGCATTAACCCACACAAAGGAATTCAACAGTTGTGTTTAAATTTAATATAACATATGATAAAGAGACGAGCTCGAGTAAAAGCCTGGCCTTGCTTCTCACACAATATTATTTATGGTTCTATATAGGACCAACTCTGTGACATTAGCAGATGGAAATCTTAATACCTTCTGACACAACTGGGTTCAGCCATCTATTATCTCCCACAAATCCTTCAAAAACAATTACTGGTTCAAAATAATTATGCTGTTCAACATATTAACTTCCTAGATACCAACAGGGGGAACCACAGTGATAAAATGACCTGTTTTATGGAAGACCAGTGAGAAGAATCATCTGTATCCTGGGCTTCAAACCAAAAGCCTTTAATATCAGGAACACACTTCCACTGAATAAATAGCAGAGAAATAAACTTGATAGAACAATATATTTTCCATGCTCTAAAATTATGAATTTTAAAAAGGACTAAGAACATGAAACTACAAAGTCTTTAACCTCTATGGAATAAATTCAAATATCAGGTCAGTAACAATCTAATGTCAACTGTTACCATAAAAAAAAAAGGACGACAATAAATAATAAAGTATCAAGCTGCCAGGAAGGTATTTAGTGGGAAGTGTAAGGATCTGCATTATTCTTAGTTCTTCTGTGTTATTCTCTGTGTATCTTGGTTAGAATTTTAAAGAAAAGGTAATGTTTCTCCCAACCCTATTTCACCATCATTTATAACCTAGAGCATGAAAACTGTCAGCCTACCTCTTAGATTCTTCCAGATACTGATCTTACTCAGCTTGGGTGCTTGCTGGCTTGTTTGCAACATTACTTTCCTGAGAAGGAAAAAACAACATAGAGCAATCAATGAAAGGGGAATGTTTGTATTGGAGAGGTTTAGTACACAATGCAGATTTTGCTGATCTAAATGGCATATACTTTCTTAATTAGATTTTTCTCCCTCTGTAGTGTTGACAGCCTAAGTCTCATTTATTCAGCTGACTCCCACTTCCTGCAGTAGGGATAATGGCCCCTTCCATTTGCAGTTGCACACCTCTCTGATCACTACTATAATTTGTATGGATGGTAAATGTAAAAGAAATGTTTAACTTGTGCAAATTACTTTAATTTATTGCAGCAAGCTAGATTAAAATGAAAAGGGCCAGCACCAAGCAGTCCACTCTGCAGGAAACAGTGAATGACTGAATCGTAAAACATTTGAACAATATGTAGGCAGACCTGTTTATTCCACTTTGCTTTACACTCCACTGCATCGATGCAGATATTTATTCTTCTGCAACACTGTGGATCTATCTCATTATGCTGGTCAAACTTTATATTACAGGTATAGTTGCAGCACAGAGTTCTCTCTTTCAGGAGAAACAAGATCACTTGAGCTGCTAACATCGTGCTACACTTAACCAAACATGAGAGAAAACAAGATCTCTGTCCTAAAGATCTCAGTCAAGCTGAGACTTTGGCAAGTCAGTCTAAATACTGCGCAAGGTGCTTAGGAGGATAAAATACCTCAGTGACTTATGCTATGACAGACAACATGCTATGCTTCCCAGGACTGAAGAATAAGCTTTTCCTGATAAAAGGAATGGCTTCCCTGAACGAAAAAAATGTGGTATTAGCTAACTTAAGATAGCAACATTAAATCAAGATCCCAGTGTACGGAAGAGCTGCTTTTATCACAACCTACCTACTAAAATTGGAGCTCAAGCTACAGGTAGAAAGACAAACTTCTGGCATCTTATTCCCATGACAGTGTCACCTCCAAGGCTGTAGCTACACTACAGCTAGCAAAAACAGGGAGGCACCACGCTGCCCACCAAGTCCCCGGCACCCCGAGCCATGGGCCCGGCGTAGCCATCCCCCATGCCAACGCTCGGCCTGGCCTGGCAGCCTGCACAGCTGTGTCCTGGTGTTAGCAGTCACAATCTCATCTACGCAAAGTGAAGAAAACTCATCTACACAAAGCAGATAAGCAGGAGCTTCTTTATTCCAGCCCTGGGGAAGACGGGAATAGCTCCACCAAAGACGTGTTCACCAACAGGTACAAAGCACAACATATTTATACACTTTTTTAGCAGAGTCATTGTTATGTAAGGTTCAAAAATGCATAGAACTCTCGCTTCTTAATTTGACCTTTATAATGATTGGTTTTATCAATTGCCTCACCGTATCCACACTTCTATTCTAAGTATTCATTCGTTAACCTCGCTGATTGTAATCCTTGATATTACAATCAAAGAGGGGAGGGTAGTGATTAACATATTCATGTTATTTCCTGGAAATCATTATCATATGCACATCTCTAGCACATGAGTGGTAGTGTTGGATGGGCGTCCTCGATAGTCTTCCTCACTGTGTCTGCTGATTGAACTCCATCCTTGCACATGCGCATTTCATCCTTTGGCTGATCTCCCAAACCAAGGCCAGTTTCTTCTGGTACCCATTGTTTTAATTCAGAGACCATAACTATTTCCATAGCAATCGAGGCAAACACAATACTAGTTGCTCATGCCTAAGATCTCAACACATCCTATGTTCTCACAGCTCCTATAACTCTGCATCACCCATATAACCAAAAAATCAAAATAATATTCTAAAATTCAAGCTATTTCATGGGGGTATTTGTAAGTTGTAATACCGGCAGCACCGAGGCTGCACTTTCGATAGAAAAATAACAACTATATGAAAATGAGAACTAGTCTTGCTACTGGGAAGTGGTAATTAATTCACTCTCTAAGACTCAATTTTGGAGTTTTAGAAAGTAGGCATTCTTTATTACGCACCGCACACACAGGGGATAGCTCCTCCTAATATGTGTGTCTGAAAACAAGATGTATACTACCTTAATCATGCATAGTCATTGCATTTTTATAATATTTTTATCATATTCATAACATTTCTGAGAACTCATTTAGCATATGTCAATATCTCTTGCACGTGTCTGTTGGAGGATTCAGGTGGTCGTCGGGGGTCTTCAGATGAAGGCTCATAGTCTTCTTCACAGTGTCTGCCAGCTGACCCTTACTTCTGCACAAACTCAGCCCTGTGGTCACGTAGATCTTGTCCTCCAAGGCTGGCCTGCTCTGGTTTTGTTGCTAATTTGCAGCTTTGTCTTTATGATTCTTTGCACCTGCCTCTACAAGGCCGAACCGCCTCAAGCAAGATTATTTACAAGTTCTTTATCCTACAGTTATACTAACTATTCCTCAAAAGGTCGGTATTTGCTCTGCAGCACAATGGCGAAGTGGCTTCAACATCTTAAATTGATCTTAATAATTCTATTCCACGAATATCTATTTTCTCATAATTTTAGCGCCCAGGTATGAGCTTAACGGGAGGCGCCGCTGCCCCCGGCTGCCTGAGGGGCGGGGAGGCCGTGAGGGGAAATGGCGGGAAGCCGGGGCGGAGCCGAGCGCGGAGGGAAGCGGGGCCCGGGCTCTCCGCCCCGTTCCCTCGGCCGGAGCCGCCTCCCCGCGCCGGGCCGGGGTGAGTCGTTCAGCGGGAACCGTTCGTGTGCTGAGGGGAGGCGGGGAGCTCCGGCGTGAGGAGATGGTGGGCGCCTTCTGAGGGGCCGCGGGTCCCCGCAGGGAAGGCTCGGCTGTGAGGGGAAGGTCAGGGGGGCGGCGCGACGCGGGTCCCTCCCGGGTGACAAGTTACCTGCGTGGGCTCGGGCACTGCGGAGCGAGTTCGTGTGCCGGCGGGGCTCGGCCTGGGATCAAGGAAGGCCGGGTGTCGGTGCCGGGAGTGTGGTAAAAGATCGCCCAAAACGTCTGGGTGACCTTCGGGTGTTCTAAAAGGGAATCGGTCAATTAAAATGCATCTTAAATAGCTTTGAAAAACTGATGTTTTCAGCCTGGAAGTGCAGGGTTGTGAAATTAACCCCCACAAACCACAAGCGCCCCACCTCCCTTGCCTTTGTCCTTTAACTAGAAATTACGCGGTGTAGAGTTTCTTAATTGGCTGTTACCGCGTGGAAACGTAGGTTTTATTGTCCCCTGCTGAGGGGACGGAGCTTCCTTCCCCCAGGTGGTTTTTCTAACGTGTTTCCCATTTTCAGTGACATCTCACACAGCCTGTTATCAGCAGCGAGTGAAGGTTTGGTCACCGTGTCTGTAAGACAAAGTTATTCTCGGGAAAGTAACTTGAACAGTTCTGCGGCTTCTCTTTTTCAGAAACCTTTCTGAAGCACTAAGCCTGCCTTCTGCCAATCTGCTAAGGTAGATATTAACTCAGCCTTGTGAGGAATAAAAGCTGCATGGTAACAGATGCAACTTTAAAGTTGTCTGTAAACATGCTTTTTCTGCTCTTTATAAGTACACTTATGGCCTCTGAGTTATTTATCTGCTGATGTCGTAACAAATACCTATTTTTCACTGTGAAAATTAGCTACTAGCAGTCATATCTGATATTATGAAGCATTTCTAGTTCAGCTAGTCAGGTTATTTGATGAAATTAATCTTCTCACTCTTTAATCATCCATGTGGTGCTTGTGCAGCTGCAGCTTTTTATGTCACTTGTGGGCTGGAGAACTAACTAATTGATTCTCTGTTTGCATTTCCTATTGATTTTCTCCAGTACACCTGATCTTAATAACCAATCTCCAGCCTGAATCAGTGGTGGTGTAATGAACAAAGAATTACTTGGTGTTTATTGATACTTAAAAGTTTAGATCAGGACAATTCTTTACTGTTTGGGACCATGTTAAAACAAAAATAAAATGTTTTGGACCTGGAAATGTGGCACTACGGTTTAGTTTTGGAAGTTCAGCCTTGGGAAAGAAGCCCTGAATTTGTTTTGGGGTCGCAGAGACTTCACAAAGTGCACAGAAAGACTTTGGCAATAATGTGGCATGTAAAACAGGCAGCATAGCATATTCAGTAGGGAAATGGCCGAAGTCAGCAGCTTTAAAACGAATTTACTTAAGCCCCAGTAACAAACACCAAGTCCAGAGGCATATCTGAATTTGAGGCATGACAGGCATGACAGTGCCTTTGTCTAACTACTGTTACCATGTTGGAGTTCCCATCTTTCTGATGAAGGAGCCACGACTGACTTGCTGCAAGCGTCCTTCAGAGGGATGTTGCCCATATGTTTACTTACTTCAGGAGGGTAGGGAAGAAAGTGGAGCAAAATTTCTCTGGACAAAGTTATTGAGGTCCTTAAATTCAAAGGAAGAAGGAGTATTGCATCATTCTAATAAAAAAGGGTAAAACAAGTAAGAAAAAACAAGTAAGAACCAAGCTTTTAAAATAAATCCATTACATGATGGGTAACTGGGGTCTGTTTTGTTCCTGGAGCTTGAATCTGGAGAACTTTATTTCTCTTTTTCACATTGGGAGCATGACTCTTCATTTGAGAGCATCAGCTGGCTGATGCTTCTTGTTTTCTTTATTACTTTTCTAGACAAAATCTTAGCAGAACAAGGAGGCTTTGCATGTCTGAGTGGTGAGAAGCTTAATAATCTGAAGGCAAAAAAATACCATTTTTTAAATTACTTTTTTGTTTTCATGAATGATTTTATCCAAGCGTTACTGTAATTCACTACAGCTATGAAAGGAAAGCTGCTCAGAATTCACTGCTGCTGTTCAGTGATAATTGTTATTGTGCACTTACCCGCAGATCTTAATGTGCACTCCTTTGACCAGCAGTAGTGCTTTAAAGGGTGTTGCCTTGATCTAGTGTGCTGATTAAGTAGTTATTTCATCCACCAGTTGGGGTAGCTAAATTGGGTGTGAGCTAAGCTGTAACAGTCCTCCATACGTCCCCCGTTGCTATAAGTAATCCAGTCATTCTTCCTCTATAGGGGAATTTGTCATATACTTTTGTTTTTGTTTGCAGTGGTGCACCATGACGACTGCCTCAGCAGATAGCTCTGCTAGCTATGAAGTGGTGGATGGAATGAGCCAGAGTTCCAGTAGCTGTGGTTTGGACTATTCAGAAGATACCTTTGAGCCCTCCAGCGAGGCGGAAGCAGCCTTCTGGCAGTGAGAGAGCAAACCATCTGTATCTTACTGTTCCACAGAGGATTTCAAGGGGTCCACAGTGTCAGCTAAGTTGAAAAGCATGCCATGGTTGGCAGGCCGACATCATGCAGGTATGCAGAGCTTGCCATGCTTGAGAGCTGTCTTTCACAGCTTTAAATCAGTGCAGTGGAGATGTGAACAGGCAAAAATAAAAATGGAAAAATTGCATACAGTGTTCTTGCTGTGCAAAGCAACAGAACCTCGGTATGCTGCCTAGATCTGTGTTTTGCGTGCTTGGGATTTGCTGACAGATACATGCAGAAGGGTGTGATTTGGCCATGGAAACCCTTCTTTAGTAATCACGTGATGCTGAAATTCTGTTGGCACGTTAAAAAAAATTCTGCAAGATAACTTGACCGAGTTACCCTGTATGAAAAGTAGCTGGGCTGTAAAATAATTTTTCCAAGGGCACAAGGAAAGTTCCAGGACTTGAAACACTTAAGAGGGATAGATGGTACCTTAAAGCTGCATCAGATGAGCAATAAAGCAGCAGGCAGCAGGACTAACTGCCTTAACGTCTTGTTAGGTTTTCCTTTGTCTCTGTGGGGTTCTCTGTCATTCTTCCACATTCTCCTTTTCTCAAAGTTTGGTCTGGTAAGTATTGTGAGTACTTGAAGAGATTAATATATTCTAAAATTTCTTTTTGGTTTGGGAGCTTGTCAGCATATATAAATATTATAGCTTTAAACATTAGCTACAACACTTTTAACAATTTTAAAAGTAGTGTGGACTTAAGATGTATTTTAATGTCAGCTGTTACTCTCTTAAACTGATTCTACTCAGTTCAACTTGATCAGCTGGCGTATACCAATATCTAATTAACTTTGTCCATACTTTAAAATTGGCAAGATGTTTCTTTTCCTCCTATAGATAACTCCAGTAGAGACGTTCCTCCTGTTCCTCATCCATTCAACACTCTACTGTGGTATTTTTTTTGTTTGTTTTTCATGCTGCAGTAATAACCAGCATCATTATCATAAGGAATCTTTTTAAAATACTGTTTAGACATGAAATCCCAACAGTGCAGGACAAAATTTGTTGACAGATATGTATACATGAATGTAAACCCTGTTTGTCATAGCACAGATTATAGCAGTAGATACCAGTGCTTCAGAAATCTTAATAAAGAGGTGATCATTGCCTTGGTGTCAATACATGCTACGTTGATGTAATTGAACAGTGTCTAATGGATTTAACAGTTTTGCTTTTTTTTTTTTTTTTTTTTTTACAAATGATAGGTTTTAATAAACCTTTTTTTTATTTTCTGGAGATATAACAGTTTTTTTTTAAACTATTCCATGTCTGACCATTGAAATCTTTTATTTCTAGCAGCAAGGAGTACGTGCTAGGTGGTATCCTTGCTGTGTACACAGAGGGCTTTTTAATAAGTGTCACCACTTTTTGTCTTTACAAGGTTAATGTTTCATAAAATTATGGAGTCATCTGAGTACTACCAGCTAAATGAGAAACTAGGGAATAATTCATAGAAAAATATTTTTGGAAATTTATAGCTTTCTGCAGTATATATCTTACTGAGAACAGCATATATAAATAATAAAAACTATACAAAACCTGTCATGCTGGTGTCCCCATGGGGACACATTATTTCCTTGGGTAAGCACACTGAATTTGCTGTTAGTAGCCTGTGAAGTAGAGAAATCAGGTGCTTCCTGAATGTGCTCGGGATTTTGAACTGGGACCACACCGTATGCATCTTGCTGTCAGTGGCAGTGACTTTTCGGATCTCTGAAGTCTTTTGTCTTTTCCCAGCTATTCACTTTCGTACCTTTGCTGTTTCCTCAGTTTCTGCAGAACTGAAGTTGCACTGGAACGAGCTGGAGAACAGGGAGCTGATACAGTTTTTTTTTTTTTAATTTCCCCAGTCCCATGTTGTTTTTCACTTGGATCAATACCTTGAGACGGTTCACCTGAGCTCCCAAGAGTACTTGTACTGCCACAGATAAAGAACTTATGCAGGGCTGAAAATAAGCGATGAGGCTGAATGAGGGAGGAGGTAGGTTGAGGTTAAGTTAGCATTACAGATAAAATTGAATGTGTCAACCAGCTCTAAGCAGTAGTCTCAGTTTTTCTCAGAGTATCCTCTGTTGTCATTGAATGGGGTGATTAGAACAAGCAATAGGAGATACTTTGTGGGACAGAAGCTTGCTTAGCATTTCACCCCCAAATCACTAATATCTTTATAGTTCTGTGGCTTGGGGGTTTCTTTTCCCTCAACAAGGAAAATGATCACATTCAAGTGGAGAATTATTTGCCTCCTACTTTGTTTTTCTGCAGTCCTGCTTTCTTTACAATGTATGTTCAAAGCTGCCTTTTTTCATTGTAGATGAGCAGTCTGAAGTAGCGGATTCTGCAGCTATAGAAAGAGATGTCATAGGAAAATGGATTGATCTGAAAAATAAAGCAGCTGGCATTAAGCAAGACAAATCTGTCATCGAAACTTGTGCTGGTAAGTTCAGTAACTTAGGAGAAGTTACAGTTCTTGTTTTTTTTGAAAGGGGATGTCAACTTTTAACTAGACTTAAATTTTATATACAAGCTATTGAAGATTAGCCAGGTAATTAGCCTGGCTTATTTAGCCAGGTCATTAAGTATGAAGTTTCTCTTTTATGCTTTCTCAGAAAACTGTTTGTCTCTCATGACACACACAGCTTTGATGCTCCTGACATAGTGATGTTATCCTCGTAATGCATTAGCACAAGATCTGGATAAGTACATTAAAAAAAAAGTATCCACATTTTAAATTTATCTGTAATCTTCACAATTTTACTGGACTGTTTAGTTTTTCTCTTTCTTTCCAGCTGCCCGGGTACTAGGAGTGGTTTTGTTTTTTTTTTTTTTTCCCTCCAAAATAAACATGACTTCAGAATTTGTGTGAAATGGTTTTGCCCCTGTTGATCAGTTGTGTTAATTACTGAGTGGTTTGCCATGTTTTAGTTCCTCTCCCAAGCTGAGGGAGGCAGCAGGGCACCAATTTTGGCAAGAACAATGGAGCAGTTTTAACCTACACAATGATGTAGTGTATGGAGGAGGAGAGGGGAAGGGAGGAAGGAAGGATGCTGTTTGCATGTACTGGTTACACAAGCAACTGTGAGAGCAGATGGTGGGATGCAAGTCCCGCTTAAGTCTTTCTGAGAAGTGGGTCAGAGATACTATTTTTAATTAAAAAAAAAAAAAAAGAGCAAGAAAGCTGTAGTTGAGCAAAAAATAATTGAAGCAGAAGGGGAATCTTCCTCAGTCTATATGTACGTGAAAAGTGAACAAACTCAGAAGTTTTGTAGGTCACCTGTAAGACTGATTAACCAAGGAGATCCTCGTGCCCTAGGTGCTTCATGGCATTGCACTTGCATACAAGCATCCGCAAACCATCCATATACATCATAGGGAAACATGACCTAAGATAATTTAGGCTATTCTTGATTGCGTAGCTCATTCACAAGTGGTGAGTCAGTGTTATGAGTTCCTGACTCATCCTCAGCATTTATCTTTATATTACTGGTTTTCTAAGACTGCCATGTAGTCAAGTGAGAAGACAGTTAATGTAGATCATCTCATCTGTAGTAGAGAGGCTTCTCCTGGTGAGCTGCTCTGAGATAGTCTTCCTAAAATACACCAGAATCTTGTGACCATTTGATTCACAGAGAAATTGAGAAGGATCTGATGAGTTCAGATTCATTGAATGAATAATAAACAGCAGTATAATGTTGAAGAAGTTTTCCGTCTCTACAGAGCTTTCCCTTGGAAGTTGCACTTGGGAAGATTTTATCCTCTTAATCAATTTCAGATTTTTGTAGATCTGCCCAATAGAACTTTGCCTTTGGTTTAGGGACTTTGATGGACAAGGAGAGTCAGAGTGGTCACTCAGTCTTGAGTAGCAAGTTCTGTTTCATTGGCTCGCACTGCATTGTCTTCCCTCTGCCTGTCGGGTTGCTTGTCATCTTAGCAGCTAAGCACTTTTCAGGTACATTGTTACGGTGCTTCCAACCACTATCAGTATGAAGAGCACAAAATAAGGTTCATGCTTATGCTTCTTTCATGCAAAGACAGTACACTGTCACGTGATTGGCAAGTTATCCCCAAACTCATCAGCATCAATTATACTTAGCCACACACTACATTTGTTTAACTGTAGAATATTAACATAAAATAAGCACAGCAACTTTTGCATAGTGACGTCTATAAATGCCTGCATCTCTTTGACTTAATAATAGAGTACTTGGTAGTCCCAAGCCTCTTATTTTTTTATCGACTTGGAGATTTCTTTTTTAAAAAAAGTACAATAGAAGCTGAGCTCACCTAGGATTAGACTGCTGCACAGTTAGTCCCCTCAGGAAATTCAGCAAAATGAATGATGTATGTACCAAGCGTGCATCGTACTTTTGAATTTGTCCTCAGGTAACAAAACAAAAATTCTTTTTTTTTATCTTACTACTCATAGGGTTAAATATGGGAAAAAAAAAATCCTGGTTTGCATATGGGAATGCTCTGGAATGTGATTTTTATTTTTCATAGTCATCTTTGTTGACTGAAAGAAGAAAAACCTAGATGCTGGCCTCAAGAGAAGTGAGAAATGTTTGTCATAGTCTGTCTTCCTTTTCTCTGGCCCTTTACTCCAGTGTTGTAGCAACTAGCTGTTATTAGACAAGTGCATCACAAACTGACTAGAAGTCCTCAATTCCAAATAGATTATTCCAAGTACCATTAGTCATCTCTAAAATTTACAACAGGAAACTGTAGTTCTTCAACTTAGATGTATCTGAAAGTTCAAGGTTTTTTTTTTTTTTTTTAATGCTCTGACTTGTACTGTATTCGGAAATTTGTTCTTACCTTTGTAACAGGTCTACATTTAAACATTTTACTCATTTATTTTTCTGCAGTGTTACCATTGCACTATTGCTGGCAAAAATGAGAGCGCTTTACTTGTTAGTGTATGTTATTTAGAGGCACAGAAATGTTTGAGCAGCATCAGACAGTTTTGTGGCTGAAACACACTTCAGTCAATATTACCGATTTAACCATTATTGTTATTATGATAGTGGTGTCAGTGATGGGAAATTAAAAGTAGAAAAGGCCAGTGTAGATACAGGCAAATAAATACCTGGGGTTCGTGGTGTTAAGGTGAAAGATGCGGGCATGTACACGTAGGCGCGTGTGCACTGAGGGAAGTATAAGTGGTTTTCTGTATCAGATATTTTTCCAGAGTATTTCTGAGTAGATCTAGTTTCTATTCACTTTGTGAACAAAGTTGCATATGTCCAAGCATTTAATTGTTGACTTACCAAACAGTAGAAGTAGTTTATTAAGAGTATTTATTGAATGTAGTAGTAGTAGTCTATTTATGAGAATTGAGAAAACATCCTCCTGCTCTGTTTGGAGGAGGGAGCAGGCATCCAATTGTCTGTACTGGCTCTCTTTCCTATTCCAGAGCTTTTTGGCACCAAAGTTTACTGCTTGATAACACACACAGATTGTGGGATTCCTGCAGACCTAGTTAGGCCCTAATATTCCAGACTTCTGCTTCCATAGTAAAATAGTATTAGTGGAGGCTAGATGGAGAAATTCCAACCAACAACATCTAAATGGAAACCCTGGACATAAAGAAAGCTCGCTGAGTGCATTAATGCCTTTATGGAACTGGGAAAGAATGAGTTTCTTCCAAAAAAACATGGATTTTGCAAGAGAATTCAGACTGTTTATATCAGTTCTGTGTTATCTGCACAAATCTTTCAAACTACGTTTGATCAGGCTGTCAGCATATTAATCTGAACCACTGCACTCAATTGTACAAATTTGATTGAAATAATTATGAAAGTGTTATCTTGAGATGCAGAATTAAAATCTTTCTGAACAGTAGTTATCAGTTAACTGCCTTTCACAGTTATCTCCCCTTTAATCATTTTACATTTTTTCTTCTTGAAATAGAGTATTAGTAGAGCATAATAACAACAAAATGCCTGCCTATTTTCCTATTAAATCAAAGTTAGACATCAAAGGAAAAGGAAACTCAATAAAGATTTTCTTTATTTCTCTCCCTCCACTCATATAGATTTAAAATGTCATACTTAAAGATGTAGTTGCACACAGAAAGCAAAATCTATGTAGGTCGCTTAGTTATAAACCACACAGCGGGGTTTAGGATGTAGACATGGAGATTAGCTTATCTGCGGTGGTACATGCTGAGTGCTTCTGTAATCAGAGCAGCTTCGTGGTCCAGTTTGTTGTGCTTTACTTTCTAAATATTCTGTGCTTCATGACCTTACTGCCGTGTGATACATGGCTCTGCCTTGATGTCTGATCTGGTGTCTGGCTTTGCTCTTGTCATCTGTTCCTGCCGTACTCCTCTCCAACAAAGAGGATGTGGGAATAGAGGAGTCGGGGCAACCAGGCATCAGCAAAATGTACTTCTGGAACAGTAATTGGCACTGGCAGGGATTCTCTGTAGACAGACGTGCAGTGACATTTAAGTCTGCCACCACAAATGGAGATTGAGCGTTCGAGCATGTCTAGTTCAGAGATGGGAAGCAGGGAATACGTGAAAGACAGAAGAAATAAACCCAACCACCAGAGCGAATGCCTGGCTCCTCTTGTATGCATCGCTTTCTTTTAGCTGAAGGGCAGGTGAACCTCGTATACCTAGAAGAAAATCTGAAAGTGTTGCTCTGCAGTTAAAAGACTAACTTTTCAGAATTTAACTGTGCTGACATTTCTCATCATTTTTTTGTTCTTGTTTCAGTAAGATTATAGTCCTTGGTGATTTTTATTCTTTTTGAGCTTATTTACTGTTGAACGTGAATTAATATTAAACAAGAAACTTTTTGAAATCGGTTGTGCAGTCAGGTTTAAAAATTGCTGTTCTCTTTGCTAGTATTTTTTTCTGATGTCTGTAGGTGCAAATGAGCAAATGGGTGGGTATATGACAGCACACAATTCATGCACTATTAGAAACCAGTTCTTAATTAAAGTGTGTTTCTATATGTCAGGAGAAACTTAAGTGAATTAATTAGGCTGGTATTAAATTATCACAAAATGTTTAGCAGACCCCATGTGTTTTACTTACGCATTTGAGTACTCAACTTAGTATATGTAAATGCTTTGTTCTAGTTGTTTTTTTTTTTTTTTTTTTTTTTTCCCCCCCTACAATAGGAACTTCTTAATATTTTTATTCATTCTATCTGCAGCATAATGAGTATGCCACTATTTTATCAGTGCGGTTAAACCCAGTGTGGCACATGGTTTACACTGTTTTGCAGGGTTTCTCCGTTGCAATTGTAAGGAAATGACCTGATGACTGAAATGGTTGTTTCCACTCAAATGTTTATGATCCTACCCAAGAAAAAGTTTTTGTTAAATTGCATTTTAAAGTTTTGTTAATTCCTATTCATCCATCTGTAAACTATTACTGTGTCATTGTCTTTAGATAATTAGATACATCATCTTCTAATAAGGAATAAATTGCTTTATGATGCTTGATTCTGAACTGTGGTAGATGCATTTAAATCACATGTTTTCTTTGCTGTCCATAAAGCAAAGCTCACTGATTCTTGCTTTGCTTAGTCTTAACTATAGATCCACTTATGCTTTATACAGATTGACTGCATTTTTGAAGAGATACTCAGTTTTCTTGCAGAATGCCACAGCTCTATCTTGTGTACTTTGAGACTAAATTAATCACAGCATATTTAGGTGAAGCTTTACATTCATACTGTTCAGTGTGTTAAGAATTTGTTTTTGTGGTTACGCCAAGGGTACCCTATAGGACTGGAATGCCAATGCACTAGTTGTCAGACAAGCACCCTTAAATATGCAGTGAAATACGCAGTGCCTGTTTAGAAAAACTAAAACCAAATTTAATCACTGGAAATCACAGTGAAACAGGCAATAGGGACAATGGTTTAAATGATATAATCACACTTTCCAGCTAAATGGGCAGTATAATTTGTTTCTGAATACTTTGAGTTAAACCAAACTGACCCTCACTTACCTCTGTAGTCATTATCAATTATCTGACTTTTTTTGGCTGTCACAGTGGAGTCAGAAGGGAACACTGTGTTAGCATTAGCTATATGCAAAGGTATTCACCAGACTTGTAGTAATGCTTACTGTCATGTTTTGTCTTCTCATTTCTCCTTTAATTACACACATTTAGTTTAGTTGTTTAAACATTAGTGTTTTGTTGGGTTTCAGTAGTTGCATAAAAGAGAAATCTGTGTTATAAAGGTAGAGAGGTACTCTCCCCTGTTTAAATAGTTGAAAACAGTGGTAGCTCTTAAGGCCACATAGTATTACACAGCATCATTACATGCTGATGCTCATGAAATACAGTATTGATTGGCTGTGCTTAAGCCTGTGGAAAATCTCCCACTAAGCATTGAATGAAGTTGTAAATCCATCCTTACCTGCCCATCTGAAGTATAATCTCATAGTTTTTATTTGTTATTACCTGCTAATGGGAAAGATAAGAGCAGAGTGAAAGATGTTGTTTAAACAATGTCATATAAAGAATTCAGGAAATGATCATTGAAGCTTTAGAGGAAAGTATTTTCTAATATAATTGCATTTCCTGAAAAAAAACAAAACAAAATAAAACCAAAACAAACAAAAAAACCCAAACCAAAACCTAACTGTAGATTGTAGAATATATTTGAGGTGTTTTCCAGAGTTAGAAATAGCCTTTAATTTTTCACTGTCTTATGAATTGATCCTTAGTTTCTAGATGAGTAGCTCTCTTTAAATGCTAATTAATTTTGTTTTAGCAAGTTGCAGTTTCAGGTAGGAAGAAGCTAAATCTGTATTAGGCAGTTATTGAAACTCAGTTTATTTAATGTCATAGTATTCAAGTACTTGCTTTACTAATATATTTGTGTTGTGTCATTAAGTTGCCTAATTCTTTAGGGTTCTCGTCTCCAAAGAGGAGAGGGGATTATTCATAGGACATTTATTGTGCAAGTTCCTACAGTTATAATCCAGATTTTTATTTCAATTCTACACTGCTCTTATTACAGTCATTGCCTCTAGGCTTGACATTGGGTTTGGGTTTTTTCTTAAATATGTAATACAAAGTCACACAGGTATAAGACCAGTAATTCTTCTTTCCCTGATAGGGTAATTGACACTTTTGTTTTGTTGATTTATGCCTGACAGAAACTACTGAATTATTAGATGGAGAACTGGATGCTCTCCAGTCTTTTTGCACCATTAAGATAAGCAAGATGCGTCAGCAGCTGATCTCGAAGCAGGCAAATGGTGGCAAGTCAAGAAAGCTGCAGCATGGATTCACAGCAAAGAAACCGGAGACAAGTGACTTGAACTGCACTGTTCCTGATCAGCTAGTGAACAGAATCTGCCTGAAAAATATCAAAGAAACTGTTAAGCAGGTACTGCAAGGAAGAAAAAGTATTCAGATTTTTATTTGTGCTTTTGGGAGAACACTGGGGGGAAAAAAAGCCATAATGTAAGGATCAAATCAGGCAGACCTTACTGATGCCACACTCAGGCCTCTGAAAGATTTTTGCTTGATATCTCAAGATTTACCTTTCTCATCTTGTTAGACACTATGGCAGAACTGTTGCTAGTGAATAATCAAATCATTGTAAAATATTGTCTGGTGACAAAATAATGATGTGTGTGTGATTGAGCAGGACTGGGATGGATGGTCAGTTATTGCGGTCCACAATAACCCCTGGGTCAACTGAAGAAACAAGGCTTGTTTTCTGGTTGCGTTGGCATCTGTTATTTATAGAAGTATCCTGCGTATGATTTAATTGCGGAGTCTTTGTGACTCCAGCATTGAAAGTATTCCAAAGGCAAAACCTCCCTTCTGCTCCCAGCTTTCTTAGACATTATGTAATATTAAGAATTAAAGCATGTCCAGCAGAATCTTCGTGACATCAGTTCCTTCATTAAGAAGGATTTGTATCAGCTTTACACAATTCAAAGTGCTTTTCTTTTCTCCACTAACCCAGTTTTTTTTTCCCCACCATAGAACAGGTGCTCTGACACAGCTACTCCTTTCAGCTCTGCATCTAAAAGTCTCAAGACTGGTATTTTTTTTGGCCAGTGATAACTGCATTCTTGCTTTGTTCTTGCAGATGGATTTGAATCTGTGGTTATGTGGATTTGAGTAGTGATCATTACCTACAGATGCCTTTACCTGTAAATCTGGGCCTTGGCAAACTTTTGTAATTTGTTTGAAACTGGTACAGAATGTCTGCATCTGGGAAAATATTTCTGATAAAAAATGAGCTTTGAATAGTAATTACAGTCATTGATTTTGTTCTATCTTGATCGTATTTCCTGGCTTTAATTTATTGCCATATAGCAGAGCAAAAGTGATAACATATTCCTCTGCAGAGCCTGTGTCAGGTGAGCAGGGAGTAATACTTTTAAAGTTGGTTCTGGCATGATGATTATTTCAGGCTTCCTCTTTAAATTGTTTTGAAATTTCAACAATCTGCATTCTTTCACTGTATCGATGTTAACCAACCCATCACCCAATTGTTGTAGAATTTTTACTGCCTTTTTATTACCACAGTAAGACAAATACATTTTCTAAGAAAAGTAATTTTGACTCCTATGTCTATTTGCTTCTGTCTTTACTTCCACATAATAACATTTTTATACAGAAGAGAAGAAATCAAGGAAGACGACAGAGAGTCTTGAGCCATGACTGCCTGGGATTGATTCCATTGCTTTTGTAGCAAATTACTGCATTTATGTAACGAGATGGAATCTGTGTGAATTAAATCAGATAAAATTACTGATATTTCATAAATGCAGAAATAGTGGGATTTGTATAATGCTATTAAATATGCTTAAGACTTTATGGTGGATAGAAAACATAGGGATAAGTGGTACTGTTTATCTTACAAAGAAGACTAGAATTTTGTTTGTATTCTGACTCAGAGTTGCATATAGATAGTTGAACTAATTGATTCAGAGTTCATTTACGTCTTAGAATTTGTAAAGATAATCATGACCTCTGTGTTTGGTATTTAAGGCCTTATGCATATTGTCAGCACAGGAACACTGCTTTTCCTGTAGCCTCGTTACAGACAGGCCGTTACATATGGTGGAATTATTGCTGATTAACAGTTGCTCGTACTGAATTTTGATGATCAAGTATTTGAAATGTGGAATAAAACATGTTAATTTAACATAATTGAGACTTCAAGAATGAGTGTATTTGCTATTGTGGAAGACTGGTTACTGTGCACAGGTTGGCTTCCTGGAACATCAGGTATTCACTAAGCAAGAGTAACTAACGGCTGGTGGGGCTTTAAACATATTTAACACTAGCAAAATATATCTAGATTTACATTGGCAAAATTGTACTGAGCATCCCTCCAGGGTCAAATGAGTTATACTAATTAAAACAAATCTTTTGCTAGTGTAACTGTATCCTCACAGCTGGTTTTGCCTGGTCACTGATGTATTGCTTGGCAATACATGACTTCATTTTTTTTGACAGTTATGGTTTCTGTGGAAGAAGTCAGTAGTGTCCATGCAACCCCAAACATCAGGGAAACTCTGTCTATTACAAGAAGAAATAGTATTTTACAGATCAGTGCTATGGCTCTGAGATACAAGTAGATAACTTTAAATGAAACTAAGTTATCAGTGCTGGGAGGGGTAATACTGGGGAAAAGCAAATATATTTAGTGTGAAAACATTTAGACAGGCACATCAAGATGATAATGTGACAAAGATTATGACATAATTTACAACTGCCTACAAAAGTAACAAAAGCAAACTTTTGTCTTTAGACAGTAGCTATAGCTTTATTTTTATTGGTTGTTCTTAATGGAGTGGCCATTTTGCTAGGACAGACATTGCACATTGCATCTAAGTCTCATCTTTCAGGTGACAGAAGCTCAAATCCATGAATCTTCAGTGTGCCCTGACTGTCGGAATAAGAAAGCAGAGCTAGCCAAGATTACCTTTCTCAGACAAAAGAAGATTCTAATGGAAAGTGCTTTAATTCAAGAGAAATTGGAAGAACATATTTACTCCAGAGTAAGCAAATACTGTTTAAATAAAAGTTGTGGTACATTTCATACATGCCGTAACTAAAGAATCCGTAAGCCAGATTTCCCCCTGATTTATGGCAATGAGATGAGATTGACCTGAGTGCAGTGCAAGTCAAAATAGAATTTGGCTCCATATCATTAATAAAATGCTTGGGACTAACATACTGGTCGATTCGTTTGAGCTTGCCTGATTTATATAAGCTGAAGGTCTTTCCCAGGATTTCTCTAGTTTGTTTACTGACAGGCTGTCCAAGACAAAATGCTAAATAACAAAATGATGTGATAGTTAATAACTTAGCCTATACTAGTTTTCCTTACTCATCCTTTGGTGTAGGAGTCTCAGAATAGGACACTGCAGTGTGTTACAGAGGCTAAGAGTGCTCAGATACTGTTTTCTCTGTATCTGCAGTTGCAAAGATTCAAGTATTGTTAGGAACTACTCCTGGAAGAGACGGTAGGCAATGTAAGCTGAAACTTGCAGAATTCTTTGGTTCTTCTGTAGCTGTTCCTCAGGATGATCTTCTTCCTGCAGGAAGAACTCTTCCCTCGCTTTTTGAAAGGGAGTCTAGATTGAGAGCAGATTGCTTCTGAGCAATGAGTAAAGAAGTAGTGCTTCCCGAAGCCCTGAGATCTAGCTTTCTGTGTTTGCAAGCAGGGTGGGAATTTGTGCGCTGTGCCACCACACATTCTTTTTTTACCTAATAATGCCAGTCTCTTGATTTCTGACTATCATTCACTCCATATCTAAGATTTGAGAACTTCAGTTTCAAGTGGGGCTTCACTTTTTTTCTTGTTTTTCTCCCAGCTTCCCTGAAAAGGCCAACTGCTTTTTAGTTCCCCTCCTTAGGGAAGAAACTTGCTTTATAGGGCAGATTGTTGACCACACTGTTCAACAAAGTTTTTAAATAGGATGCTTTAAAAATCCAGCAAAATTGTGATGACTGCTGCCTGCCTAGTTGCTTTGGAGGGTCTGGATGTAGTTGCTGATGGTAGACCTGTGATACAGGGCATGAGAAATGACAGGAATACAAACCCAAGTGATTTCCACGTTTCCTTTTTATTTCAGGATGTGCTTACATGTATAGGAGAAGCGCTCAGAAGCTTTCCCAAACCTTCAGAAGATCCCAGGAACTTATGGCAAAGGCTGAAAGGTCAGAAAATGTGGGGCCTGGAAGTAGTAAACAACTCAAGGACATAAAGAACTGGGAGAGTCTTCTGTGGGCAGTCACGTACTGAATGCCAACGATTGTGGATATAACCTGTTTTGTCAGTGATGAATTGGATGGTGGTTTAATATTCTTGCAGGTGGAACCAGATACACCCAGCATGCTGGCATCTGGGTTACACTTCAACTCTTTATTCTCCTAAATGCAAACGTTACAATATATTGTAATCCAACTATATACATTTTTCAAATTACAGAAGCCCACACTTTCTATTATTAATCTGACAAGTAATAAGTATTGTGTTTTGTGGGATTGCTTGTGGGATTTCAGAGCAGCTCACAGATGCTTCCATCCATAAGGAAAATAAATGATTCTATTTTTCGAGGCAGGAAGGTATAATTACTGTATTTCAGCTCCATCTTTGCCCACTGTCTCATGTTAAATTGACAGTGAGAGCCCCAGGTGGAGGAGAAAAAGAAGGTTGCAGAGTAACTATAGAAAGGAATAAAATGAAATGGGGTATTTATAGAACTGAAATAGTGAGACTACAACAGAAATTAATCAGCAAGACTGAGGATGCCAACCGGACAAGAAATGATAATAAATTAATCATAGAACCTATATAGGATTGGTGTCTAGGAAGAGAAAAAACAACATAGATTAAATTTGGAATAAGATGCCAAATAATGTTTTTGACCCTTTTTTGAATATACTTTGGAAGCAGTTGTAATTTGCTATCATTTTTCGAGATGGCAAAGTCACTGTCTTCCAAAGAATATATCTGGATGAAAGATTGGTATTCAGTACACATCCAAATAAAATGGCTTTATGCTAGGGATCTCATTGGGTTAGGCAATGAAATCATCTTCACTGTAGCCTCAAAAGAGGTATGCTGATCTGTGGGCACAAATGCAGCCCACCTTTCTGATTACTGCTGTCAGCAGGAGCTCGTTGCATTGCTCCTGCAGCAGCCCTGTGGCCGTTGGGCTTGTGTGAGTCACAAAGTTACTGCCTCCCATCAGGTTCCGGTTTCCTGACTTCTGTGGATTTAGATTTCTGAAGGCTGTGGAAATATTGAAGGAATGCCCTTATCTACAAACTCTTACTAATTTTTGTGATAAAGCGAATATGATTAAATCTTAGTGTTACATTTTATTTGCCCATTCTGGGACAAGAATATGTAATGTTGAAGTTGGTTTTGTATTTTATACCCATGTAGTTACTTTCTTTTGTATGCTACATATTGTTCATAAGAGTGCTTGAGGGCTATTTAGCCTCTTGTTTTCACTTCCCCACAAATCAGTGGAAAACCTGAAAAGAAATGCTAGGATATACAGGTAGGTAGGCCTACCTGTGTTAGCAGATATCTGCCTTTTGATGCTTAAAACCTACCTTGAATGATTTCCTTGAGAGTTGATCCTGAGTAGGTCAAGTCTCAAGTGAAAACGCAGCCCTGAGTTGTTCAAAACTAGTCGTCCTCACTGCTTCGTCAGCAGGTTATTCTGGCGTCTTGTAAACAGCAGGTTTAATAGTCCATTGAAAATATTCCCCTAAACTTGGCTTTAACTTTTGAATTGTCACTGCAGATTATGTAGTTACCCATTACTTTATAATCCTTAGAAATGTTTAAATCCCTTAAATCTCCTATCTTCCAGTTTTACAAACCTTTTCTTTTTAGATACTCCATCTCTGTTCTGTGTTTGCTTTGGACTACACTCCCTGTTTCTCTTAAGCCTTTCAAAGTCTTCAGCCATCTGCCTACGACTAGGCCGGGGACGCCCGTTATTCCATGCAAAGTCTCATAAGGGCTGTCAGATACAGAAGTGGTGATCAGGAACTGAATCCTTTGAAAATGCAATTTTGTTGTTGTTGCCAATGAACACAGCTTTCAGCCCTTACAAAAACCACAGAAAGTGAGGTCTAGGACTCTAAATATAGATTGGTTATTTTTATAAGTAAAAGAAGACATTTTGATAGTTTTGTTTTCAGTACATAGATGCTTTCTAGAAATATTGAATTATTTCTTTGCAACTGTTATCAAGCCTTTATGTAAACACATTGAACTATAAGCTGTTTGGGTTGTGCACCTGACAAAATTTGTCTGTAGAATAGTATTCATACTCGCACAGCACAGTGACTGCACAGTTCCTGTTTGTTTGCATAAATGTTACAAAGACAACTCAGAGAGCTCCTGAAAATCAAAGCGTATTTTGATTATGTCTGTTGCATGTGTTTTCCTACTGCTCACTCCAGTTCTTTCATTTTTTAATTGAGAATGACTCTGAGATCTGAGTGTTTGTCTTCTGCTTTCTTGTAGCAGTTATTAGGGATGTACAGTGGAATGAATGATCTGAACATCTAAATAATTTATTTTAAAATTCTGCAGTGTTTGAGACTAGAAATCCAAAAAATCTGACATAGAGGATGTAGGAAAAAAAGTAGATCATGTCTCTTCCTTTTTCCCCTCATAGGAGCCCCCCCTGCCCCCCTTCCTCAGCAGTAGATTTTTCTTTTGATCCGAAGAAACACTCTAAAACTACGATTAAGAAACATTTATTCATCTGCTCTCTTGTTTGTGCTTGCTGGGGCATAAAAGGAGTGAGGTGGATCAAGGGTGATTCATATGGTAAGCAGCTGTAGTACTGAAACAAATCAGGCTGCCTATTAAAAGTACTTTGGAGCTTTTGCTTTCTAGCTTTCATGCTACACATAGTTGTGTTATTTAATCTTCCGAATGATTTGTGATGTAGTAGAGTTTATTGCTCTGAACTTTGTACAAATGCAGGAGGGTTTTTATATTACACATAATATGTTGTTTTGCATTATGTGTATGCTGATAGCTGGTCTTGTGATGTTCTACTTTATAACTGACCCTTTGGATTAAATGATATTCCTCAAATTATCATTAAAATCGCTTTCCTGTGCTCTGCAGCAATGTAATTTCCACTTTCATTTGCCCTAGCTTTCTCTCTTAAGAAATAAGCCTGGCTTCCAGGCTCAGTCATTCCTTAGTCTTGTTTCTAACCATCTGTTGGGCCATGGGACTTTGGAATTCATTTCTCCTCTAGGATAAACTTCCACCGTGTTCACAGTAAGCTACTAGCATGTCTTTTGAATGGGAATAAAGTTTTAGTGCCATTAACTTGCCTGGATATGAACTGGGAACAAAGATAACACGTTTGAATACTGATTTCCATCTACTTGTGAAATATGTAATCAGGCTGGTGGAGGTTGGAAGGGACCTCTGGAGGTCATCTAGTGCAATCCCTGGCTCGAGCAAGGTCATGTAGAGCCAGGTGGGACCTGGTCCCCCTGGTCCACTAGTCTTTACATTACTTTTGAATCTTTTCTCTGAAGCTATACTAAAAACTGAAATGTTTCAGGCCCCCTTGGGGCCACTGCCTTTTCATAAATCCATCTCCTAGTCATGGTTTTGTTGCATGGCAAGAGCCAGTTACTACTTTTTTTTTTTTTTTTTTTTTAAACCATAGCCAGTTTGATTAGCTTCCAAGAAGAGGAGCTGAACTCATTTATTCATATTGGGAGCTTGACAAAAATTCTAAAGTAGTGGCACTGAGGACAAGGTTTTGCTGCTGAAAGGGATCGTGTTCCCCTGCAAAATTGTTAGCTGACACAGTGCCCAGATTCTTCTTCAGTAAAAACCTGAATTGTAGCTTTCAGTGCAGTTATTCCAAATCATGCATACATAGTCCAGCAAGAGCTGGAGTGCTTCCAGCTATGTATTTTTAAAGCATTTTGAAATATACTTGCATTCTTCAAATTGTAATTTTATTACCATTCAGTATGATTTTTGGAGAATGACTCTTTATTGTCTCCACTCAATAAGAGCTAAGCTTGACACTATGTGCAAATTGTTACTGCCTGCAACAGAGTTGGTATTCTAAATGCCACTGTGTTTAAAAAATGTTTTTTAATTTTGTGACTACATATGTTAATCTTACAAATACTACATTTGCGTTGTTTTTATGCAACTAGCTAACTGTTCCTTTTTCTTCCACAACTAAACCTGAAGATCTTTTCCTGCACTGAAAGCAGCATGATCTGTGCAGGGGGAGGCTGGGACATGAGGGGGAGTGCATACCTTCTGTTAGTAAGGTACTAGGTCCTCTTGTCTTTTCAAATTACCTATAGACTTGATCAGGGTACCTTAAAAAAACATTTTCCAGCTTCTTGGCATGGATAGTCACTGCTTATTTATTCATTTATTTATTTTGTAATAAAATAGTACTGTTTGTTCTCACATAGACTAGTGTGTATAATCCATAAATACGTTTGTAAAATATATCTGTAGCATGTAACAGAATCCTTTAGAATATTCTGTGAAAATTCATATTTTTAGTCGATAGCACTTTAAGAACATTTACATCCTTCATCTTGACATTTTTAAATAGAACATTTTTTGCCTACAGAAGTTTACAGCATCATCACAGTATTATAGCCTGTTTAAAAATACATACAGCATTAATGGTAATTGCAAGCAAGCTATATACTTGAGCAGGGTTTCTGTTTGTAAATTTACATGTTTTCTACTTTTTAAAACAGTTACGTATATTAATATTACATCCATCACTTTATTAGAAAATAGTACTTATATATGCTACTCACAATAGATCTGTCATTTTTTCTGTGACATAATATTACAGGCTATGAAAATAGAAACACACCATTGTATGGTTGGTTTAAAAATAATTACAAGCCTAGTTAAAAAAGTGCGTTAGGCTTGCTCTTTCCTTGGTAAATTAGGTTCCGCTAACACTGGATGTCTTTAATCCACTTATGGTTGGAATGCCACTAGCACCTCTCAGCACTGAACCTTGTGTGAAAGAAATACTGACTTCTTACCACCGGGTAACAAGTTTTGGGCTCGGTCCTGCCTGCTGTCTGCATGGAAAGTGGTGCTGAAGACATGGGGAGAGTTCTTCAGCTCCAGGCTTTCAGAACCAGGCTGCTACTGCTGAGTAGCT